CACACCTACACCCATACTCTAACTATCTATTTATTTTTATTTAGTGTGACCGACAAACAGTGGAGAAGTATGCAAGTTGTCTATTAGAATACACAGCTATTCTTGAAATGTATATTTTTGCAATAAAAACTATTGTTTCTTAGCAAGTGCGGTAACATTATATCATCGACTATCTTAAAGAAAATCCGTTTAACGAATGGATTTACTGCAATATATCTTTTATCGTTAAGGCACCAATTATAGACCACAATATCTACCAGTAATACCGTTTCACCTTTAATTATTTTCTAACATTCGTTTCTTCTTACTAAGACAATAAATCCGAGTAAAAGTGTCCATTTCGATTCATTCTACATCTAGGATAAAATGCCTTTTGACATTATCGTACTTTTGAATCTGTATAGATGTCTTTTATATGCAAAACACTGAATAGAGATTCCAAAGTGGAAAATTTCGCATATATTTATTATAAAATCAAGTTATCCATTTTATACCATCCATTGAGCTTCGATCAAATAAATAGCTGTTTTTTTTCATTAATTGATATAAAGAATTTTCTACGTTTTGATGAATAACAGACAGTTACTTTTAGCTGGACGATAAAGTAAAGAATTACGTGAACTAGATGTAATAACATTCATATTTTTGTAAGAGAAACAAAATAAATATGCAAAACTTTCTATGTTTTGTTTATTTTAGTAAGATTTAAATAAATTAATAAAATAAAACATTTCGATTTGACAAAATTCTTTTTAGTTTTTATTGGAGTATTACATGTACATACACAAATATTATATGAATGTAACTTTGAGGATGATACATTACCTCATCATTGTTTTACACCTCCTTTTTCCGTCGTTTCAAACGTTGGAAATCCAGGTATTTCAGTGCCAACTGTACCTTTATCAGATGTAACCTCAATCTGTAAGTTACAAAAAAAAAATAACATATTACAATTTCTCGTTAGATAACTATCTGTTTATTTTGATTTAGTGGAAACAATAGAAGATGGATAATTATGTATATTACCCTATCGAATAAATGATTATGATTAGAATATGTATTTTTGTAATGATGATCATTGTCTAACAGTAACTAATTCAAAGAGTCGTTATCAAGATGGTTGATTTAAAAATTAATAAAGTTCATTTTATGCGTAGTTCATTTTTATAGGTAAATTTGGTACAGTACACTTATTTGATACTGCTATAGAATTTTATCAATTAAATACTCCAACAGATGGTATCAATAGAACAAATCACCAATGTCTTATCTCCTATTATTACATGTCGAACATTGGTGAAAAAAAATATAACAATACTTAAAGAAGAAAAAGATGGTCCAGATGAGATAATTGATTCAGTAACGTACATTTCATTTAATGATTGGATTCGATGTCAAGTATCATTTGTTGCTAAAGCATCCAATTATAAAGTATGGTTGATCTTCGAAATTATTTATTATTATTGTGTTTATTTAACTAAATTTTAAAATTTATTTTCTTGCACAGAAACTATCATTTTCAGAAGTACTACATACTGTATATGATGAAATTTCAATTTGTCAAGGCAATTGCGGTGCGGGATGTACCCAAAGAAAAAAAAAGGTGGAGTTCTAGATATAAATCACCGTACTCCCCCTTAGGACAAATTTCTTATATTGCAATTTTAAAACAAACATCTCTAGAGCAATGTTATTATAGCAACCTACTACTTTTCAAAAGTAGAGAGTCCGGACTTTCCATGAGCACATCCCTGAGTCTACTCTTTATTTATGTTCTTGCTTTATTCGTTTGTTGTTTTTTTATTTTATTATTCTTAATTTAATATATTTAAATCTTCTAGATATTGATTTATCTGATGAAACAAGTTGTTGTACACATCCATAATATTTACAACAGATCTCAAAGTTCTATTATTTATCTCGATAAACTGTAGAAAACTAATATTCATTATATACAAAACTTAGCACACTATCTCTTTATGTTTTTTGTTAGTCATATGGTGCTGTGGCAAATCAATACATTACTGTTCATTATACCTGTTATATATCGTATACAAATATACTCCTTTGTCCGTATCAAAACTAGAAATTACACTATTCAGAATACTAAATAGGTATTTGAACCGATTAAATTTCAAAGAAGCCTCTTGAACGTTCTAAAAGTGTAAACCTTGTTATAATCCCACTAGGCGCCTATTTTCGGTTGTAAAGAAACCATGCACCTAGTGCTTGTCCGAGGTTCTAGGGACTTTCCACGTAATGACCTTTGTCCTTGGTTGCTATGGTCTGTAATGGAGATCTGGTGATAGGAAGAAGGCGAGCCGTGAAATCTCGAGTCAAACTTACACATACTGTTTCCTTCGAAAATATATGACAATTCCACAAAACAAAAGAATTTTTTCACTTGTCTTTTTTCTCATTTTCTTTTATTCTTATTGTTTGTTGCAAACGAAACAATTGCTATATTTTTTGATTCTGATTCAAAAAGGCAAAAAAAAAATCAATCTACAGCAAAGGAAAATAAATGTAATAGTCTTTCGAACCAACAATTTGTCTTCTCGTGAATAATTGTTTCACATTGGCACAATTGCGTCGCGTTGCTTCTCTTGTAAAATCTTCTGTGATAATTCTTAAATCTTCATATTGAACACTTAATTCAGTAAGACAAGGTAGATGTGTTTTGTTTTCGTTTAGAAACTGTTCGGTGCAAGTAATATCGGTTCTTTCAATGTCAAGTGAAGTGAGATGAAGATATTCAACGATTTGATACGACTGAATATTGTCAGACAATTTCTTCGCATTATGTGACCGTGGTATAAGATTGGAAATAGAAAAGGTTTTTAACAATGGAAAAGCTTTAGCTGTTCTTAGGAAGAATTCATATTCGAATGGAATTAAATCACATACATGTAATTCGATAACATAATTGAATACAATATTTGGAAATATATTACCAATAAACGAAAGCTTGTCAAATTCGAACGGTAACGTAAATATATGATATATAGTTGGATCAACAGCACAAATAATATTCGATACTTCTTCATATCCTATATTGACATAATTTTGTTTAATATTATTATTGGACATATAACGAACAAAATCATTTCTATTATTCTCAGTACTAAGATAAAATTTGAATGAATGAAGTCGTGGTATACACATTGAAAATTCATTTATAAGGTTAATTGGATCAATAAATATACCTTGATTAGCGATACGCAAATATAAAGTTAATTTTTCCAGATATAACATACGATGAAGAAGAGATACAATTTTATTATCATATTCTTTAATTAAACAACAACATCTTACTGAAAAACACTTCAGATTAGGTAAATCATTCTATATAATGAAAAGTAATGCTTATTAAAAAAAATTTTTTTGATATAAAACTATAATCAGTAATATAAATTTAATTGAAAACTTTCCTACTTTTCTATTTCAATAATGGTATAAAAATTTAAGTCAAATAGCTCTTAATTCTTTTACACTACAGACTAGTTTTCTAGAAAAATAATTAATTTTATTCGATAACTATCATAATTGAACAATTACATTGATTAATAGATGCAGAAAGGAAATCTTGTTTTTCTTGTGTTTATCTCACTATTTAGTATATTCATTTGATTTCAAACAAAATCTAATTGATTTTGTCATAAAATATATATATTTAAAGTAACAATTCGAACTTGGTATCTTTTACATCTGACCATTATTTTTTATTCGTTTGGGTTATTAGAGTAAGATTCACTTGTTTATATATTTCATTACAAATCAAAACTTAACAATTTCAATTCTCGTAAATAATAGCTAATTCTTAAAGAAGCTCAAGGAGTATGAAAATATTTTTATGTGCCTTTTTTCAAGTCTTTTCGTAGTTGTTAAAACTAGTAAATACGATTTGCTTCTAAAGACGTGCAAGAGACAGTTTCGTTCAAATCTCATTCCGATATTTGGACTACTCACGAGTCTCTGCACATATCTCTATTGTTTTCTCATAAAACTTCATCATTTACAAATTTCCTAATTGTAGTTTAACTCACAGCTGACATTTTGTTCGTACAAAAATATTAACAAGATAAAGCACACCTACCAAGTTATGAATCGTTGATGAATTTCTATCGATATAAGAAAATTTAACAATAAATGTAGTCAATTGTTTGAGACGACCATCAAGTAAACAAAGACAGTCACTGAAAGTTTTCACATTAATACATAAATATGTAAGAGTTAAAGAAGAAAAAGTATTTGATGGTAAACAACGAATTGACAACCATGCATATGTAAGATTTGATGTTTCAACAACATTCAAATGCTCTAGATTTCCCAAATAATTCAAAATATGTGCATAAACTCTTTTCGTATAATCTTTCAATGACCCTACTGCATGCTCACAATCTTTATTGATAAGATCAAGTTTTGTAATCTGTTGTTTGAAGATATGTTGAAGAGATGAATCATCTAAATTAAAATACAATAATAAAACATTGTATAATCTGTGCTATTTGATATCGTTGCACACTAATCTTGTATTTGATGAAATATAATCTATAACACTTAATTACCTGTGAAATAATGTAATGAGCTGTCACGTTGAAAATTAAAAATTTTTAGTTCTGTCAAATTTGGATAGGGAGTAGCAAGAAGAATACGTTCCATAGACGCGGGTTCAACAATCAAGCATTTCACATTGTAATGAATTCGAGGTAATATATGATTACAAAATCGACCAAGCATTGAATCAATTATTGTAGTGTCATGAACACTTGATGTAAAATTGAGAGTATAAGAAAAAATTTCTTCTCGTGATATACTATCAAGTCGTTCGTTATTAATACCAAATAATGAATGAAGAACATCAATATTGTCAAGTTTCTTCAAAATATTAAATAACATCTCATTTGGTAGATCAAGAAGATGAACATTTGGTCGATTCATATTTAATATTGACTGTAACTTTTTTGTCAATATAGACATACATATATATATATATGTTCTTTGTTGACGCTGATCACCGTTGACGTTATGAAGAATTGAATGGATGAACTTATTGAAAGAAAGGTCACATCCATGCGTCCTCCAATGAAATCATTGATAAATACTATTTCATTTTTTCACAAATTCTCACATATACGTTATCATTACATAGTGTTCATTTATGCAGGGGTGTGGGTGTGGGTGTGGGGTGTGGGTGGGTGTGGGTGTGGGGTGTGGGTGGGTGTGGGTGCGGGATGTGATTCTTCTCATTGCCTACACCCAGATCCCACACCCACATTCACACCCACCCACACCCACACCCACACCCACACCCACACCCACACCCACCCACACCCTTTCCATAAAACATTAGATTATTGTGTTTTATTTAGATGAAAAATTATCATAAAGAATATGCACAATTAGATACAGAAGTAGAAATTAAATCAAGAATAGAACAAGCAAGGCAAAATTTTATGAAATTGAAAAATTTATTGTGTAGGGTGTGGAGTGTGGGTATGGGTGTGGGTGGGGTTTGGGTGGGTGTGAGTGTGGATGTGGGTGGGTGTGGGATCTGGGTGTAGGCAATGAAAAGAATCACAGCCCACACCCACACACTCACGCCTACACCCACACCCATACCAACCCTCACACACACCACTCACACCCATACCCACACACCCACACCCACGCACACCCACCCACTCACCCACACCCTTCCACTATAGGACAGGTCTTGGCAATCCCGTAGTTTTGCCTGAGGGGGGTGCAAAGTTAGGAAAAATTCGAAAGTAGGTCCCAAAGATGCCTTTGCCATTCGGTCTAGAAACAAGCTACAGAACTGCGAGTTTCGGCGTTGGATAGAGGACAGTTTGACGATTCGAAACCACTAATAAAAGTTTAAAATCCGTTTGAGCTTCATAGAGATATTTAAGCCCAAAAAACGTCAAAAATTAGCATTTTCTATAGCTTTTTCCCAAGAAACAGAACATGGGGGAAAAAAACGTCCGCTACAAAAAGTGATCACCTCAACAAGTTGTATATATGGTGAAATTTTCAGACTTCTATCATTTACAATAGATGAACTAGATAAGATCCCGTTTTGCTGGAAGACCCCAAATTGCCCCCCCTCTTCGGATCCCTTCGCAAGATTTTTAAAATTTTTTGAACTTACAGCTATGCCTACAGATACAAGTTCTACAAACTCTGAAAGTTTTATTCGATTCGCATGAAGTCGATGTAATTGTGGTGCACTCTCGAAAGAATAACCCTAAAGCGACCACTCTAAAAAATTAAGACACTTAGATAAGACAGTTCAAGTGTCTATTTTGCATTAATTTTGCTTGGGCGTCTAAAATCGGTTATCCGTTGACATGTGACGCGTCTTACTAAGACACACTATATGTCTAAAAAAAAAGACGCATCACCTGTCTCAATAAGAAGCGTCACGTGTCAACGGATAACCGATTTTAGACGCTCAAGCAAAATTAATGCAAAATAGACGCTTGAAGTGTCTTGTAAGACACATGGCATTTTTTAGAGTGTACACCATTATAGATTTCACCATCATGATAAGCAGCCTTTCACTATTCTTATTTGAAACTACTTCGACAGTTGTAGTATAACGACATTTTGCGCTTGAAACTCATTTTAGACAAAAATAAAATATATAGTTTTGTACATCATCTGCTTTATACGATTTCTAGTATAATTTTTTTTTCTGATGTGATGATGTGA